TAAGAAAACACTTATCTAAAATCACTAAAAACTTTGATGAAATTTGTTCGTTTTCTTATACATTAGTAGCCTTGTTATTAGTGCGAGTTCAACTACATTGCTAAAAAATGTTAGACATAAAAATCGAACAACATGTTAACATTAAATTTCTTGTGAAATTAAAAAAAAACTGCTGCCGAATTACAATTCTAGTATGTTGTGTGAAGTTTATGGTAAAGAATGTTTATCAAGAGCTTASGTTTTTGAATGGCACAAATGGTTTTGTGGTGGAAGAGAGAAYGTCGAAGACGATAATCGTTCTGGACATCCTACCACGCCTTCAACAAACGAAAGCGTTGAAAAATCGACAAAATTGTCGATTAAGTGTTAGAGCTATAGCAGAGATGGTAAATATTGATAGAGAAAGTGTTCGTAAAATTTTAGTTGAAAATTTAAATATGAAAAAAATAGTGCTAAAATGGTCCCTAAGAATTCAATTGCAAAGAAATTTGTTCAGACACCTTAAAAATCATCAAAGACAATCCATCTTTTATACACAATATTATTACATGTGATGAAACATGGATATTTACATATGATCCTGAAACTAAAAGGCAATCCATGCACTGGAAGACACCAAGTTCCCCAAGAATGAAGACAGTACGAATGAGCAAGTCAAAATTCAAAGCAATGCTCATTGTTTTCTTTGACATTAAGGGAATAATTTTTGATGAATGGGTTCCTAGTAAGCAAACAGTAAAGCAATATTATTGTAAGGTGGATTAATTAAATTAAGAAACCGTGTTAGAAAGAAGCGTTCTTCACCAAGACAATGCTCCAGCTCACAGAGCAYTTTCAATTCAACGTTTTTTAACTGAAAAAAATATTTCTATACTTCAACATCTCCCGTATTTGCCAGACCTTGCTCCTTGTGACTTCTTACTCCCAAAAATTAAAAGCTTATTAAAAGGAACCAATTTTYAAAMGGTTGATGRCGTAAAAATGAAAACGTCAGAACTTCTAAAAGGGCTGACTGAAAGTGATAGGCAACACTGTTTTTAAGAATGGCAGCGATGTATGCAACAGTGGGTCGATGATGAGGGAAGGTACTTTGAAGGTGATAATCATTAAATTATAAAATTTTAAAAATAAATAACTTTTATTAAAAAAGTCTCGTTATTTTATTTTGTCACATCTCRTATATTCAAAGCTGGCCATTTTAAACAGTGTACATTTTGGCAATTCTTTAATTGAACCTAAATAATTATCTGCAAAATCAATCGATACCTATTAAATTCTAAAAATCAGAAAAATTGTGCAGATGATCCTTTTGAAAAAATCATTAAAATTGTACTGTTAGAAATTTAATTATTCAATGAAATGTGCTAACTTTATAATGAGTAATTATCATTAAATCTTGGATCAAAGCGACCACATCTCACATTGTCATGACAACCGAATCTCCTACTCCATTTTGTGTATGTATTACAAGACCATGGTACCTTTGGGGGGATAAAATTACAATGTATTTCATTATTGCTATTTCATAACACAGCGATTAGTGTGTTATTACTGTTGAAATTACTGTGTTCGTACTTCACATAAGATAATATTTTGGTATTATTTAATTATAAATATGACAACTTAGGTGTATAAACAAAGAATAAAAAATTAGTATTATCACCACAAAAACATTCTGTTGAACTCTGTGTAAAAAACTGCCAAGTTAAAAAAAAAACTTTGTTTAACCACTATAATGATTGAATAAATGCTAAGTGAAGAGAATTATAGTACACTTATTTGTTTTAATAATTTATTTACCTGGTTAGAAATTATTTTTAGTTGATATTCCCCTCATGATATTTTTTAACTGTTATGAATTTCTTATGCCTTTTGTTTATTTTATTTACCATATTATATTAGGTATGTGTATATAATTTCTTGCTAAATAAATAAATTATTGAAACAAAATAAGCGTATTTTAATTCAATTAATTTTGCATTTATTTATGATATTACATCTTTATGGCACTTAAAGATCTCTTTTTTTGTTGTGTTGAATACAAATACAATCTTTAAAAAAATTTTCTTCTCACTACTATTTTATATTGTTGGTTTCTAATAACTAGGTTTACTTAATTTAGTAAATTTTATTATTATAGCAAATAATTTGAACATTTTATTTTTTTTGTAATTACTATTATGTAGGGTGCTACACCTAAAGATGGACCCAGTGCTGGATGTACAATTGTTACTGCTTTGTTATCATTGGCTTTAAATATTCCTATCCGGAACAATGTTGCTATGACAGGAGAAATCTCTCTGAAAGGAAAAGTTATGCCAGTAGGCGGTATTAAAGAAAAAACAATTGCTGTAAGTAAATAAAAATTTATTTCACCTAATACCTACACCTTGTGTAAAATGTGAAATGATTTTTTTTTAGGCTAAAAGAGAAAATGTTAATTGTTTGATACTACCTGAGGACAATAAAAAAGACTTTAATGAACTTCCGAAATTTATAACTGATGGGATTGAAGTGCATTTTGTTTCATACTATAAAGATATTTTTAAAATAGTCTTTGAAAACAAATAATACTATTCTTATTTTTTAAGTTTGTTAAAATGAAATCTTTGTGATATCAATATATATATATATATTTGTAAATAGAATAGATTTTAGTATTTTTTTGAATAAAATGTTGTGAAACTGTTATTTTATAATGTGACTTCTAAGTTATAGTTTATTATTTGATTAAAATAACTACTTTTCAGGAAGTATTGATAATATTTTTTGTACTCAATTCCTTTAGAACCCAAGTTTGAACCGCAAAATGTATTATTCTATAACAAGGGTGGAGCGATAGATCCCCTCATTACCTTATTTAAATTCTGAGGAGAACGATGAATATATTAATTTTAAAATGATGTGTGTTTTATTCCATGATCACTTTTTGAAGCAGTAAAAATGATTATATTTTCTAATAGGAAAATGAAATTAGTTGGTACAAAGGTAGATTAAAAATGAAAAATTCTCAGTAATTTTCAAAAGTTGAGGAAAATCAGATTTTTAGGCATAACTAGGTAGTTTTCTAAAAAATCAATTTTGTTATTTGTAAGTAAAAAAATAATTGTTACATAAAAAGGTGTATRCAATTTTCACTTAATAATCATTATCAAAACTTAGTGAGCTAGACTGGTAACCAGGTCGCTCAAAACTGCATGGCTAAAATACGCCTACTAATTCATTCCATTCTGGTTGTTAATCTGTTCTTATATATTATGTCATTAATAGGACCCAGATTTCAATGCAAAGTGCAAAGTGCATATTTTTTTGGTTGATCTTAAACAGTGCTTTCCAAGTACATAATTTGTTTAGTGTGATGAGTGTTTCAAAGCTAAAAATKTATTTTCTATTTTTTAGCATATTTCAACGTTTTCTCATTAGCATTATTGAGTTATTTTGTTGGTTTTTATGCATATTTGGTCAATATGCTATACATATATACYCTATTTTAATTTTACATAAATCCTAATGTATACGAATAATATTGTTTCAAAACATGCATGTCAACAAAACAACACCAAGTCAATTTTTACAATTTTCAATTTATTTTAATAAAATAAATAATTATATATTWTTTACAAATACCAAATTATATAAAAAAAATATGCATAATATATATATATTTATATTTTTAAGGTCATGTTTGGCTATTTTTAAGAGAATATTTGTATGATTATAAGTGCATTTAAATCAGTATCTTAATCATTAATCTCAATAACTTTCTTTTAATGATGAAATGATTAGCATTTTCTTTAGGTAGGTAATCATGTGTCGATTTGTAAAAGAAACTTGTCAAATTTAAAACACTTTGTGTATACAATTGTTTGGTRTATTAATTTWTTAGATAGGTGTCTTATTACCCAGTTAATCTAGGCCATTTACATTGCTTAGACAACCYATTTATATTTTGTTCCTTTGAATAATTTATTTAATGTTTACCAATTATGCAAGTCTATTTTTATATATTTTAGTAATACTATAGTTATAGCTAGTTTTATACTGATTGCGGCATCAATYGCACCGCACTGCGTAGGGCATTAGATAATATATTTTAGGTTTGTATTTGTAGAATGATTATGCCAATTGCCAGCAAGGGAAGATTAAGCTGGGAAGGTTGTTTCTGAGCCATTGCAGGATATTATAGAYYAGCAGCCTAAAAATACATCAAGTCACATAATACTAATTAAAAAATAAAATATCAACAATGAGAAGGTTGAAATCATTATCTTAGATTCTGAGAGATGAATGTAATTATTTTACAATGTTGTGTGTCTTTTTATATATTTTTTTATGAGTGTGTCGAAATATTGCTTTGATATTCAACTTCAATAGCTTTTTCGGTTGAAAAGTGAATGTAGTTGGTGCATTAGGGAGGTCATATTTTGAAATTCCCAGTAGTTTTCCGGTAATCACCGGAAAAAACAAAAACGGAACACTACATACTAAAGTCGAATTTTTAATATAGGTATATAACGTTATTAATAGGTGTTGAGTGAAACTTGACCTTCAGTTCCTAAGCCACWGAGATAGTTTAAAGGATGTGTTGAATTTGTATTGAATTACAAATCGTTGCAAACGAAAATCGAACCTTGGCGGCGAAAGCGTATATTACATCACTTGTAAAACTTTTAGGATTAGTTTGTATGACAAAATTTGGCATGCGAAAAATCAAATAAAAAAAAAAAAAACCAAATTACACAGTAGTACAGTACCTACCTACCCAAAACGAATTATATTACAATAATAATTAATAATATATTATATTTATATGTTATAATTAAAAATTTCCCCGCTCAAAAGTAAAAATATTCAAAATATCAAAATGACTATTGTTGATTTATCGTGAACAGCTGAGTTACAGAAATTATCACTGAATTGATTGAATGCTTTATTGTGTTGATAACATATTGCCGCCAAAATATCAAGGTCATTGCAATCATTTATGGATCTTTATTCTCTATTATTTAGGTTTAATTTCTATTTCGTATTTCCCACACCAGGTCCTGGCGTCATCTACATTCGACGTGAACCTTCTGTACAAACATTTTTTCGTCCGTACGATTCAACGTAGGTATGCAACTATATAGTAGTTAATTTATTTCGTTTTCTCAATAAATTTATAAAATAGTACTACAGTCTACATCAACGATCATGAAATTGGTGATCCCTGAGATTTCTTGGCACAATCGTGACCCAGTGCTTAGCGTCCATTTTCAACCCGTCGCCGAAGACGGATACTATCGACTAGCTACTGGTGGATCGGATTCTCATGTTTTTGTAAATAATTATRTTTTTTGTAACTGCAGGTTAGTTTTTACTGATTGCTATTTGTATGTGTACAACAACATTTTAGATATGGCGAATCAAAGTAGATGGTTCAAATGTGACCGTGGAATTTGCAGCTGATCTGACCAAGCATCAAAAGGCAGTAAATACTGTTCGCTTTTCACCCAATGGGCAATGGTTAGCCACTGGTGATGATGGTAAATTAATTGTTAAACATTTTTTTTCATTTAGAAAACTTAACCTTTTTTCTTTCAGAATCTGTTATTGTCTTGTGGAAATTCAAACCTGAAAATGGTCCTGATCAACGTCCCGATCTATTAGAAGATGATGAATCAAAAAATCTTGAAAAGTGGGTTTGTCATTGCGTGTTGAGAGGTCATCTAGAAGACGTTTACGATTTATCTTGGTCTCCAGATTCTAAACGACTTATATCTGGTGGAGTTGATAATAAAGCAATTATTTGGGATGTTGACAATGGTAAATACATTTAATTTTACAAATTAGTTGAACTTTAATTATATTTGTAGATTTTGAAATTAATAGGACGCTATAAAGCAATACTTGACGATCATAAAGGATTTGTACAAGGAGTTGCTTGGGATCCTTTAAATGTGTATGCTGCTACACTAAGTAGTGACAGGTAAATAGGTGGTATATATTATTACAATATTCTTTATTAATTTGTTCTTTATTTCAATTTTATTGTAGAACTCTAAGAGTGTTTAATACAAAAAATTGTAAATTATTCAATAAATGTGATAAGTGTGTTCCTTTGGGGAAAAAAGGCGATGGCGATGAAATAAAAATTAGACTATTCCATGATGATACACTGAAATCTTTTTTTCGACGCATTTCATTTTCACCTGATGGTCAAATTCTAGTAACTTCGTCCGGTATCATGGAGACAATTAATGAGGAAAACAAAAATAAAAGCACCACTAATGTCAGTTATGTATTTGCCAGAAAATCATTTACTAAGCCTGTGCTATACATACCATCTCTTGACCAATATTCAGTTGCTGTTCAGTTTTCACCAGTTTTATATGAACTTAAAGAAGATACAACATCAATATTTGATTTACCATACCGAATGATTTATGCTATTGCAACAAATTCAAGTATTTTATTGATGGACACCCAACATGCAGCTCCATTTGCTTACATTGGTGATATACATTATACTCGTTTGACGGACTTATCATGGTAAAAACATAATTTTAAAAATATTCTAGTTTTAGAAATCAATAATWTTTAATCTATAAAATTTTATGTTTATCAGGTCTTCCGACGGACAGTTACTAATAGTGTCTTCATCAGATGGATTTTGTTCAATTATTTGTTTTACAAAAGAAGAATTGGGAATAATGTACAAGAATAACACAAAAGTTGAGCCAATGGAAATGGTAGAGTCAGTCGTCCAAGACTGTAATGAAGATAAAGAACTACCTATTATAGTAACTCCATTGAAAAGAGAACAAAAACATGAAGAAAAACAAATTGTTGATTGTACTGAAGCTCCTCCCACAAAGAAAAGAGTGCAATTAGTCACACTTTCTAGTCCTAAAAATAATAAATATTTAAATAAGTAATGGTGTTTATTTTTTTTTATTTTTATTTTTATATGAGATTAAACATTTTTTTTTTACAAACATTAATCATCATCTTCAAATGTTATTTTCTTTCCTTCAAATTTAGCCAATGATTTCTGTTTACGTTTTGCTTCCCATGACGGATGTAATGCTGTATCAACAGATTCCTCTACTTGTTGCTGCCTTCTTTCTCTTCGGTTTCCTATATTATTTTGTCTACCAACAATCACTTTTTTACCTTTACTGAAAAATTCTTTAGTTGGTTTTTGATATTCTAATTTTGTATGTTCTTCAATGCTTCGTTCAATTGCTGGTGGTGGTTTGTATACAGACATGTAATCCTTATTGTCAACAGTCATGAAAAATGAATCAACTGTTTCACAAACAGGCTTGATTTCATCAACTGTAATCTTTTTTTTTTTAATGTCAATTTTACTTGTAATKTTWTGTTTGAATTTTCTTTTTGATATATTTTTATTAAGGTTTACATCAATGTTGTCAAGGATTTCATTAGTGGACAAATGCGAGTTTTTCTCCGGTAGTTGTGTGTTTAAAACTTTTGTTTTTATTTGTGAATTTTGTACATTGTCAACTGTACTTGAACATTCCTCTTTGTTTTTAACAGACATTTCTTTATTGTTAGAGATTAAAAGTTTTGAGCCTTTTGACTCATTGTTTTGATATTTATTACTACAGGTATTGTTTTCATGAGGCAAAAYTTTTTGTACTAATAAACTGTTGCTTTTCAAATAATTTTCAGACTCTGGCTGATCTTTAGAATCAGACARTGACTGATCTTCAGGTTCAGACAGAGTGCAATCAGATTCTGACTGATATTCAGGTTCAGACTGAGCACAATCAGACACTGACTGATTTTCAGACTGCATCTGAGCACTGCCAGACCCTGACTGAGTATATTCAAAATTGTCCATGTTACTAATTTTTTTATTTTTATAGAGGATTTTTGTTTTAACCTCTGTCGTAACTGATTTGTTTTTATTGGGTTTCTTTTTTGCTCTATATTTAGCACCTAAATCATTCAACAAATCCGTTATGCATAGTTTCCAATCAGGATATTTTCTTCTAAAATKTTGAACTTCATCTATTATAAACTTATGTCCAGCTAACCTTGCTAATGCCCTAGTCTCCAACATGATGTCTATACTATTTAATATTTTRGCTGAAGGTACTTCATTTTGCAAGGCATATTTTGTAACATCATCATCATTTAATTTCTACAAACAAAATTATTGATTTGTAATATATAAAAAAATGCAAGATAAAAATATTTAAGAAAACGTTTTATACCTTTATCACTAACAATTCACTAATAAAACGTTCAGCTTTTTTTTTATTTTTAACAAGTTGTTCTTCATTTCCTTTTTTTTCTTTTATTTTTTTTGCTTCCCGTGTTAATTTGTGTATTGTATGCACTTTTGATTTACGCACAATATGACGCATGGCAACAATCTAAAAAAGTAATTATTAATAATTAGGTGTTAATTACATTTATATCAGCTGTAGTTGTGATTAAAGTCATATCTAACTACAAGAAATATATGTATGTGTAAATCATGTAAAAATCTAAACAAATAACTTGAAATAAATCTTGGTAAAATTCACCTGATTATTGAGAGCAATTTTTGATAAAGGCTCCATAGTAAATGTATTTTATATTCCGAAAATATGTCATTAAATAACAAATATTAAAATGATCGAACTAATGATTACTTATACTTATAAATAATAAAATGTTGATTTATAACATTTAAGTTTAAACTCGTGTTGTTGAGTTTATCCATTATCACAAGTTTAATACCTATCAGTTATCGCGGTTATCTACAATTAGATAACCGTTGTACCATATATAAAATATTCCGTGACCGTGGTATATATTCTTAGGGCTTACAACTTACTTACCGCCATTAAAATTGTAAATTGCCTTTAAATCTTAAAATACTCACAACTTGCTTTAAAATAAAAATATATTAAAAACTAAAAAGCCTATGAGAAGCTCTCCATAAWAAAGTTAACCTAACCTTTAATTTTTATAAGACCTCAACTCACTCTAAATTTTAAGCTAACGGAGCTAAACATGATCTGCTGAACATAGACAGAGACATCAAATGGTTGTGTAGCATCAGTGGCGTGTATCCAAAAAAAAATTGGTGTTGCTCAAATAATTTTAGGTAACCTAAGTACCTAACCCTTAAACTTTTGTTATACCTAGTACCTACCGATAAAATGTCGCTAAATTGTATTCCTATTATTTAATGTTAATACTAATTTAATTTAGTAAATTATATTTTTGCACTAAATGTGCATCGGTTTTGAAAAAAATATATAAATAAAAAAAAGCAGATAAGTGGGTACCGCACTGCTGTACATTAGGGGTTAGGTACTTACTCTGACTAGGGAGATAGGTATCATTGTATACGAAAAACGATTCTGAACGGAGATGATTTGTCAGTCTAGGCTCTAGG